AGACCCCCCCCCACGATTCGGCGGGGGGGGGGGGGGGGGGGGGCTGAGTTCGATTGAACTAACAATGCCAGAATGAAGGCCGACGGACCGCGCTTGGATGGCGCAGCCACCTCAGCAGGGGCGGGGCGGAATGCAGGCCGCCGGGCTCCCTAGGTAGCTGGCTTATCGCGCTCTACCCGCGTATGCCCCGGCCACTCTACCCCAGGGTCGCTAATTAAGCTGCCGGCAGGTAGCTGAGATCCAGCACTGCAAGGCAGCGACCGACGACGCTATTGATACGGCGCCATGCTTCTGCAGCCAAGGTGCGGTCAGCAATATCTCTGCAGGGAGTCGACTGCGGGGGTCTTTGTTAAGGCAGTGTGCAATGAACTCTACGAACTCCCTGGAAGCGCCTGTTGGAGGCACCGGTACATCTGCCTCGAGAATGGTTTGCGCCATACCAATGCAAGTGTGCTCTTCAGGATATGGGTAAACACCTGTGATACACTCAAGAAGAACCAAACCCGTAGACCAGATGTCAGATGCAAATGAATATGGTGCTGAACAAATTCGTTCTGGAGACATGTACCTAGAACTCGAATTCTCACGGGTGGCTGATAATCGAGGATGGTGAGTGTACTTAAAAGTGCCAACAAATGTCCCACACATCGCGATCGAGTTTCCTAACTCAGCAGAGACGCCAAAGTCTGTGACCTTTACTTCGCCAGCAGAATTAATTAGCAGATTTGATGGTTTGATATCACGATGGACCCGTTTCTGGCGCTTAAGATAGGCTAGACCATAAAGTATCTGAAACGAAACGTGAGCCAAGGCTTCCTCTGGAAGCGCACCAGCCTATGAGAAGAAGCATATATGCAAACGCAATGAGCGAGGAATTGTGCCTGAGCAATGACATTTGCCAAGCTGCCGCCGTTCATAAATTCAAGCGCGATTGAAATGGCCCCTTCGCGGTAGAAGGCGCCGTGGAATCCAATTATTGCAGGACATTCGCAATTATACAACGACTGAATCTCGCGTATTAGTTGATCTCGTTTTGAGCGTTCGAACATGTTAATAACCTTCAGGGCTATCATGAGTAAGCCCCGCCGTGCGCATATGTACGAGGCTTTTAGCACAATCGAAGACGACCCTTGCCCGATCAGCTCTCCTATCTGTAGATCCTCGTATATCATTTTTTCGCGTGAACCTGTTGTCAATATTCCACGGGAGGGATTCAGCGGCGCCTCGCATCGCATCGACACCCCATCAGCATCAATTCGCATTCCATCTCTACGAAACACCTTGCCCTCGGCCTCGAAAGACTTTTCAAGATTTGTGTTGCTGCATGCGGCGTCGACATCAATAACTAGATCGAGGTTCCGTCGATTCTTCATTAAGATAGCTCTGCCGGTGAGCACCGCGTCTCGAATCAACCTTATATCAACAACGCCCGCCGGGCTAATCCCTCATCAGGCTCATGAAAATTGGCACATTTTTTCGGGCACCTATTCTATGCCCGGCGACGGACAAAAGAATCGACGCGTTTAACAAAAGATTCGACGCGTTTAACAAAAGATCTGCACGGCACCATCAATGTCCAATGCTCGTCCGAAGCGCACACTATCAGCAGGAGCGCGGAGGCAGCGTCTCGTGAGCGTCTGAGCGCGGAAACGGTGTTTTGCATCGACGTCCTTGCATGTGACGCCCTTCCAGCGCTTCCAGTGCGTCGGCACGCTGTCGCATACCTTCCGCGCCCCACTGCAACTCCGGGGCTGCCCCGCATTGGCGCACGCGACGGCGGCGTTTCTGTCGTCGTGGGCTGCCTCGCCGCCGCCATGGGTGCCACAGCCGACGACAGAGACAACGTCGTCGTGTGCCTGCTACCGCCGTCGATGCGGTTTGGAGCGCTGCGTCGCCGCGCTGCCGCGACGCGCGGCCCGGCCCGGCGCCGGCGCGAGTGCGCAGCCCGCGGCCGGTTCCTGGCGACCCGGGGCCGTGCGGCGCTCGCCGCGCTCGCGGCCGCCGCGGGCCGCGCGCGGCGCCGGCC